AAAATGAACAGGAACTGCAGTTGGGCATTGTACCCATTCTTTCCTTGCCATTTCGCTGGTGCAAAGGAATTCTCAAATCCTAGTGACAACCCGGCCGCGCGTTGGTGAAGCGCGGCTCAGCAATGTCCCGGGCGCGATTCGGGCAAGGTTCAGGCGCGGCTCAGGCGCGCCTCGAGGCCACCCGCAAAATGAGCGCACATCGGGCGCGTAGTTCCGTAGTTCGCGCGTGGCGCAGCCGCGGTTCAAGCCCTGCGAGCGCTCGCGCCCGCGATTGACATCGAAATTGGGCTGGGCGCGAGGGGGGTCGACTGATGCGGCGGCGCGGGGACCGCGCGTCGCGGGTTCGAGGAAAACGACGTTTCTAATTGGGGGTGATGAAATGACAGACCAGGTTTTTTAAATTCACTCGCCCGCGAATCATCGGGGCAACTTCCAGGGCCGTTGCGTCGACGAATGCACATGTCGAGCGCGCGCTGCATTCGCGGGCGGGCCGCGCGGAGGCTGAAGGGGCCCAAGGACGCACCAAAAAATGCACACAAACAGCAGGATTCCTAATATTTTTCGATATTTCCCGGATTTTCGCCATCCCCCCCACTTCCCGTATTGTGCCATACTTTCTCGCGTGTGTTTTCTCTCCTCCTGAGAGGCGCCCGTCGAAAGCGGAAAAGCAAATGCGCGGCATCAGAAACCAGCGCAGCGATGCATCGTCGTGGCGGCGCCCAAAAAAACATTGCGCGCGCGGTCGCAGCGTGGGCGACTGCCCTCAAATGGCGCGCGGGGGCCCCTCGCCCTAGCGAGCGACGGCGATTCTGGCCGATCGCGCGCCGGAGCAGTCCAGCGAATTCTACGCGGAACGGCGGGCGGCGCGAGCGCCGGGGGCTGTCGCGCCGAGCGGACAGCGGCGCGGCGACCAGAACAGCGCCCTTCTTTCTTCGCCTTTACAGACTGCAGTCGACAGGCGACTACCCTGCCCACTAGCGCGTCGCACCTCCAGGCGCCATTGCCGAGAGCGCCGGCGCGGCATGGCGCCGCGTGTTCAACGACTGGCGCAAGCAGGCCCCATCGCGCAATCAGTCTTCGCATCGCCTGCCGGCGCGCGAGCGGCGGCGTGGTCAGGCTGAGTGCTCGCAGAGGACGGATGCGATCTAGAGCAGCGTGGCCCATGCTGCACATGGCTGCGCAAACGGCCAGACGGGGCGACATGGCAGCGCGTTGACCCCTCGGTGCAGCCATATTTTTTTCGTATGCGGATGCGACGCGCGCGACGTGACTGGGGCTACGGAGCGGGCGCGGCCGCAAGACGCCCACGCAAGAAACCCACATTCTTGAAACCCGCAATCGCGATGTGCACAATGGAGGGGCCCAGAGCCCCCTGAACGCAGCGGCCCCTTCGACGGCCGCGGGAAGCCGCCGGGCTGCGCGCGGGGCGCAGAAGCCCAAGGCATCCGCGCACAACACATTCAATTTCTTGACGCGCGCCCCCGCTGTGTGCGGGGGCAGGCGCGCGCCTCCAGTCTCCATGAGCGACGGCCGCTGATGCGTAAAACGTCACCAGCCTAAGCCCAGCGGGGCCCCTTCAATGCGGTCGCGGCGGTGGTGCTGGCATGGGGCGCCAGACGCCTGCTTGCGTGGGCATCCACTCGCCGCCCCCCGTGCCTAGGTTCCGGGAGGTTCCGGCGTGGCTGGCCTCGTCGGCGAGTCCGCTTGGGGTTGGTGCACGGTACAGGGTCGCGTGGTTTCTGAACAGCCTGTGTCGTTTGGGCTTGGGCGAAGGATGCAACGGGTGCTCTTCGGCTCCTGGAGACCCCCCGGTTTGTGTTCACGCTGGTCTGGTCGGGGTAGACAGCGCAAACAATTTGTTCGAATTGGTCGCAATGCGTCGCGGGGGTGGCCTGACTGGCGACGGCGACGGCGACGAATGTTTCAAGCCGCAGGGCGGCGTCGGCAAGCTGCTGCCGGTCAGCCCCCAGTTCTGTGAACCGCGCGTCTGCTTGGCATGTGAAACCTTTGGCTTCGGGTTGTAGCATCCACTCCTCGTCGGAGAATGCGTCGCAACCCGTTGCGGCGCGCTGCTCGGAGGCGGGCGAGGGCGGGGCGTCGGTGCCTCCAAGTCGGACGGCGCCGCCCGCCGTGCCGGCGGCGCCCTTCCTGGCGCGGCGGCAATCGTGGAAGTGCGCGATGGCATTCATCATGATGCTGCTGCCTCGTTTGCGGGGGCCCTGCGCGCCGCTGCTGCCGCGCTGCCCCCCCCCCCCCCGGCGGCGGGGCGCTCGGCGGCGACGGCGTCTTTGGACTCGGCGGCGATTCGGGGCGCGGTCTGGCGAGCGCCCTGTCCTTCGGGGACGAGGGGGCGTCTGGCCCTGCCCCCCGCCCCCCCGCGGGCTACCCCGCCAAGAGGTTTCTCAATGGCGATGGTCTCTGGTCAGGCGGTCGTGGCGGTGGGCGCCTTCGGGCATTCAGCTCTGGCAGGGGCGCGCGCCTCGACTCCCGCGGTGGTCCCGGGGGCGGTGGGGCCGCGAACGTGGCGTGTAGCGTTCGGAGGGGTGTTGGCCGCTTTGATAATGGCAAATTCGCCCTGTGTGATCTCGCCCCATCCTGCGCGCTGGACTTCGCAATGCAGCTTGGGGAATGCCAGAACTTGGGGGTTTGCGTCCCGTTGGCGCCCGGTGCGTCGGCGCGCGTGATGCGGCGGCGCCTGGCGTTGGCGAGCGCGGTGTCAGGTCCCCGTGGTCCCAATGCGACTTGTTTCGCCCTCTCGGCGTTGGGTTTGCCTATGCTGCCCGCCCTTCTGTCTGAGCCAACGGCCCCGTGAGCTCTGCATTTGGATGGGGTGTCGCCTGCTTCCTGAGGCATTGTCTAGTGGCCACGTGAGTACCGCGCGGTCATGTAATCACTGGGTGGGGGCCCCTTGGATGCCATGGTGGCTGATGTCGGACTGCCTGCCCCCTTGCCCTGAGGCGGCGAAAACCATGGGCACGTCCGCTGGCCTGACCCCGAGGGTACCCGTGAGCTTGCGCGTGCCGGCTGCTGCGCCGTGGCGACGTAGGAACCCCAAGGTTTCTTGCGCTGATGCGTTGCGGGGGTGAGACGTGAACTTGGATGGGAACGCGTCTGTAAGGTCGTTATCGAGCTGTTTACGCGAGACGACCCTTTTGGCTGATTTGTTGCGCTATTTCATATCAAGCTAAAGATTGGCTCGGGGCCGATAGCAAACAAGTGCCATGACGGAAACATGAAAGGGACTTTGAAAAGATAGTTAAAAGTGCCTGGAATTGCTGGCTGTTTGTTGTGCCGTGCCTGGTCCGCCGGGACGCGGTTGCCGTTGATGGGAGCGGCTCCTTAGAAGTGAGCCGTGGCCAATTCCCCGAGTGCGTGTGTGACCGCAATGGCGTCAGCCTCGCAGTTGGCGGTTCGGATCCAGGCGACGTTGGCCGCTGGGGCCAGGGTGGCACGGGCGACTTTCTGGAAACACATTATTTCTTCCCGTCCTATAGTTGGTACGTGATCTTTGGGTCGGTCCTGACATACGCATGATCGCCTTGGCCGTGTGGCGGAACACTGGGATTCGGAAATATTGTCCTCGGTAGTTGGTGCTGATGGGTTTCGCCTTCTTCCAACGGGACGGGTGGAATGAGATGCCGATGGCATGCGACGTCCCGTCGCCCTCTCTGACCGGCGCGGCAGTAATGGGGATGCCACAGTGGTGTGCGCCGAAGCTGATGAATCGAAGAGGATGAAACGGGCCCTCCCTTTGGTCTGGTGGGCACAAACGTCGACCGCGATTTCTGTTTGTGGTGGGTCGCGTTAAGAGGCCTTGTGGCGCATGAGGAAATAGCACATCAATTCATTAACTCGCTCCTGCGATGCGTCCGTCGCAGCGGTTTTGCTGGTGTGATGCGTACGTGCGAGCTCGCTGTATGTAGCGATTGCTCGGACGACGTCACCGCTGCCCTAACCTAATGAGAGCGCGACGCAGGTTTCTTCCCGACTGGGTTGGTATCTGGTCGATTTGTTGAGGTCGCCGTTCTGGCGGCCGTTACCTGGTGGTGCGGGCCGCCGTGGTACAGGGGACGCACGGCAAGGGCTGTTCGGAGCCATGGCGCTCGCGCGCGCGCGGGAATGACCAGGATGTGGCGCCAATTTGTCTCGGCCTGGGATTGGCCGCGTCCAGTTTCGCGAGGCCAGATCAGGTTGCGGGGCGCTTTGCGTCGCGGCACCACTAGACCTCGAGCAGAAACTAAAAAGGAAAGATAGACACAAAGAAAGAGAGAGAGAGAGAGAGAGAGAGAGAGAGATAACAACAAACATAACAAACAACAAGGAGGGACAATGACATTTGTAAATATAGATACATAAAGAGAGAGAACAACACAAGAGACACAGAGAGAAGGAGGGACAGATAGACGGATAGTGAAATTGAAGTATCCAACAGCGAGAGAGAGAAAGAGATAACAAACGAACATCAATAAAGAAAGAGAGAGAGAGAGAGAGAGAGGAAGAAAAAGGGAGAGAGAGAGAGAGAGAGAGAAAGGGACACAAAAAAGGGAGAGGCGCACACGCAAACACACAAACACACACACATACACACACACATACACGCGCACGCACACAGCATACAACATACACTACACAACACACCTACACTGAGGAAACAAGAGGGCGTAGGCAGTGGGCAACGCGGCTTACGCACACACAAGACGAATCAAGCGCACTCGTGCCTCGCCAGAGCATCCACCATCCAGGGGCAGCGTGCAGAAATGGGGGGAGCCGGCGGGCGCGGCGTAAGCCTCAAGCGTGCACCGGCGACGGGCCCCACTTGGCTCACCATCGATGCGGTTAGGTGTGCAAGCAACTCTCGGGCCTCCCACCTCACTCTGTTGTCCCCGCCCCACGCCCCACCCCCCGTGTGATGACGTGGCCTTTCGTTCCGTCGCCGGGCCTCTGCCCTAGAAGACAGGTTTACATGCCAGCTCTCCCCCTTTGCTGGTTCTCCCTGGATCCTTGTGGCGAGGGTGCCAGAGCACACGGCGTGGTCTCGTACTGCTTGGCTGCACACGTCGCTGCAACATCGTCGAGCCGTCCGAATACATTGCCGCGAGGACTGTCGCCATACTCATCGTGATGATGCTGGGTTTGCCCCTGATGCTGCCGTTGCTGCTGCTGGTAGTGCAGGGGGTGTAGCTGCTGCGCGGGCCAGCTGGTCACGAGAGTGCGGTCCACAGTGAAAGCCATCCACCTGGCAACAGACCAACGTTGATGCCTGAGCCAAATCAACTAGAGAGGGAGAGACGCAGCAAGCCGTGCATCAAAAGTAAGGGGAGAGGACGGGAACAGAGAGAGAAGGAGAGAGAGAAGGAGAGAGGGAGAGAGAGAGAGAGAGAGAGAGAGGGAGAGAGGGAGAGAGAGAGAGAGAAAGAGAGAAACATGGTAATCTGCCACCGCTCCCACTGTCACGCCGAGGCGCGGCAGGATGCTGAGGGATGTCCGGTAGGGCTCCCGAGGCCTCTCCAGGGGATCCCGCCCTCTGCCCGCGGACTTCTGCGTGCACCCCACCCCCCCAGGCCACGACCCCCATGACGGGGTCCGCGCTCCCTCGAGACAAACCAGTGTCAAGGGGACGTAAGACCTGGGTACAGGGGACTCGGAAATCCCCGACGAGGTCGTCAAAAAAATGACGAGGCCGAGCCTGCATTTTGACGAGGTCTCCCGCTGCAGACATCCCACGAAACTCCTCCTCGTCAAAATCCGAGGCGCGGTCGTCAAAAAACGATGGCGAACCCGAGTCCTGGCAAACCCGGGTCTTACGCTCCCTCGACATTGGGGTGCTCGCTCCCGAGCTTCGAAGGCGGCCGAAGCAGGCCACCACAAGTCCGCCAGGGTGGCCCCAAGACTCCTCCAAGACTGACGTCTTGAGTCCGCCTTCCACCTTGTCGGGCTTCCTGTAACTCTAGACGGTCCCACGACGGCCCAAGAGGGACCGAAAACGACGGCCTCATATGGCCTCAAGAGTGCCCAAGCCAAGGGGCCCAAAAGACGGTCCAACAGTGCCACTTAGAAGACCCCTAGTCGGGCTCGAGGATATGACCACCATTGGCTTGGCTTCCCCTAACTGCGTAAGATTGTGATGCCTTCACCTTTTCGTGCTTCCTTCAACTCTAGACGGTCCCACGACGGCCCAAGGGGGACCAAAAACGGCCCAACACTCCTTCAAGACGGTCTGCACACAACCCAGTGGGGCCCCTTGACGGCCAAGGACCGCCCCAAGGGAGCCTCGAGCTGGCCCACGCCCAAGATGGTGTCTGTATGAGCCCAGGACTGCCTCAGGAAGCCCTTCGACGGCCGCAAGGGACACCCCAGACGGCCAAGACGGCGCCATGGTATGCGAATGGAATTCCAAGATAGCTCAACCGGTCTCTGAGATGTCGCAACAAGCCCAGCGAGACCCCCAAAACAAGAGCCAACGGCAAGGACGGACGACGAAGAGGAACATGACGAATACGACAAGAGACCACCCGACTCGACGCGGAAGAATGTGTCACGTGTTGCAGCTCTCCCGAGTCTCGGAACACGAGGTGCCACACGTCACTGCTTACTGTGCCCCCTGGAACAATCACCACCCACAATACTGGGCTGGCACGGTAGCGGGACCTGCCACAGGTACCTGAATACTGTTGGGTCAATTGAGCAGGGAAGGGGTGGGCGCGATGATCGATGGACCCACCAAAAATTAAGACGGGGCGCACAGGAGATGGGCCAACGACATTTTATTACTTCTGTTGCTCCTCCGTGCACCGCCGTCGACACGCTCAACAGCAGTCGCACATGCATCACCCACACAAGCTTCAACATCCTCGCAATAATCGCGCAAAAGCGTCAACATCAACATCGTGGACACTATGAAACAGAGACGAACCGCTCCATGGCACGTCCCATCTGTTCGGTGCCCGGCATTTCTTGGCCGTTTATTATTTGGTCGTTCTTTGGCCCATTCTGATTCATGAATCGTGTCGTTCTTTTGCCGTTCATGCACCCAGCATTTTTACCTAACAGCGAAGACTGATAGGTTTCTAGTGGGCTCAAAGAGAGCATCTTGACTCCCCAGGGGGGTCTGGGCGGATGCCGGGGAGAATCCGGGGGATCCGGGGACTCCCCAGAACACCATTCCCAGGCCACATGTTGAATGCCCGGAGCCAACTGTAGGCCACTTCGTGTTCTTCGTGTTTCCAGAACACCACTCCCAGGCCACATTTTGATTGCCCGGAGCCACCTATAGGCCACTTCGTGTTCTTCGTGTTCCCAGAACACCATTCCTGTACCTTCTTTTGATTGCCCGGAGCCAACTGTGGGCAACTTCGTGATCTTCGTGTTCCCAAAACACCAATCCTGTGCCATATTTTGAATGCCCGAGCTGAGGCAGGCTGAGGCCGAGGCAGGCTGAGGCCGAGGCAGGCTGAGGCTGAGGCTGAGGCACGCCGAGGCAGGCTGAGGCTGAGGCTGAGGCAGGCTGAGGCTGAGGCAGGCTGAGGCTGAGGCTGACGCAGGCTGAGGCCGAGGCAAGCTGAGGCTGAGGCTGAGGCAGGCTGAGGCTGAGGCTGGCTGAGGCTGAGGCAGGCTGAGGCTGAGGCTGCAGGCTGAGGCTGAGAGGCTGACGCTGAGGCTGAGGCAGGCTGAGGCTGAGGCTGAGGCTGAGGCCGAGGCAGGCTGAGGCTGAGGCTGAGGCAAGCCGAGACAGGCTGAGGCTGAGGCTGAAGCTGAGGCAGGCTGAGGCTGAGGCTGAGGCTGTGGCTGAGGCTGAGGCAAGCTGCGGCTGAGGCAGGCGAGGCTGAGGCTGATGCAGGCTGAGGCTGAGGCAGGCTGAGGCTGAGGCTGAGGCAGGCTGAGGCTGAGGCTGAGGCCGAGGCATGCTGAGGCTGAGGCCGAGGCAAACCGAGGCAGGCTGAGGCTGAGGCTGAGGCTGATGCTGAGGCAGGCTGAGGCTGAGACAGGCTGAGGCTGAGGCTGAGGCAGGCTGAGGCTGAGGCAGGCTGAGGCTGAGGCCGAGGCAGGCTCAGGTAGGAATCCTTAGGATTCCCTTGGAATCCTTAGGAATCCATGGGAATCCTTAGGAGTCAAGATTCCTAAGGTTTCCTAAGGATTCCTAAGGATGCCTAAGGATGCCTTAGGAATCCATAGGAATCCTTAGGTTTTCCATTGGATCCTAAGGCCGTTGCCACTGCGACTGTCATTGCGAATGCAACTGCGACTGCGAGAACAGCAGAATTCTACAACTGGATTCTCACTTGAAATTTTAAGGGGAATGCTTCCAGATATGCTTCTACACATCGCTGTTAGGTTGCTTTGCTGGGATAATATGTAAAGGTGGCAGTGGCCCAACGGACGCTTTTTGTCATCATCAGAGGAGGCACAGCGGTCTTACCCTTTCTCTGGGTGCGTGGCAGAAGTGGGGCTCCACGCTGTGGACCGTCGCTGGGTCTGTGGACGCTGTGGACCACAGAAGTGTCCGCCACAGTGGCCGCTAGGCGCCGAATGGAATGTCCTCAAGTCCCTTCGAACTCTCCGTGTTGAATCCTTTCGATGCGCATAGGATCCCGGACCCCCCGCTGCCAGATTGTGTTGGGCTTGCCGCAGGTTTCTCGGGGCCGCTCGCACGCCTTCCCCAGAGGCCTGAGCAACTTAGTTGGAAGTCGATGCTTCCAACATGGCCAAATATGTTCTCAGGGCCAGTCCTGAAGCCATCTTGGGCGCACATTGAGTCTTGGAAGGCTCAAACCACTGAACATCAACATGCTTTGTCATGAGTTTTGCATGCTCGGATTTTCGGTCCTGCGAGCGCCGAAGACGATCGAAGAGGGCCTCAAGAGCGCCCCAAGACGGCCCCTGAGGCCCCACGAGGCCCCCAGGACAACTCGGACTGACATTTCGAGCCCTCTCCCCCAAGATTGCCTCCGAGACCGCCCACAGGCCCTCAAGAGGCAGTCTCCAGGGCCCTCTTGGCTCTCTCCTTGAGGCTCTCTCTGGGCCCTCCTGGGCTTGTCCAGGGAGCCTTCGGGGCCGTCCTGGGATACCAGAAGCCCGAGCAGGCTTAGGCGGGACATTTCCTCCTACAGGCGGATTTGGAAGGAACATGAAAATAGTGAAAACATTTTTGTTGCGTGATTAACCAGAGCACTACTGATCGCACCCTGCTATCTTCTATTCTTGAACATTGCTCCTTTAGGCAGAAGCACCACAATCTATCACACACAAATAGGCCATACGCATGTTCGGCTATAGAAGCACTTCTGGCGGTCTTCTGGGGGCCCTTCTAAAAAGTCTTGGGGGCTCATCGGGTCAGCTTGAAGCCTCCTTTGGCATCTTGGGGGCGTCGTGAGGCCATCTTGGGCCGTCTCGAGGAGCTCTCAGCGCATTCTCGAGGCCCTCTACTGCATCTGAAATCACCTTGAGACCGAAATAGCCACCCGGAACCTCCAAACATTACCCATTGCCCTCGAGAGTCGCGCAGTGGGGGCGGGGAGGGGGACAATTTTGAAAAAATCCGCCGCCCTTCGGTCCTGGGGCCCAGACGCCCGTGTCTCTTGATCTGTATATACATATATATATATATATACTAGTGTGGACCCGTGGATTAAATCCACGGAGTTGCGCGGATCGAAGTTTGGTTGCGAGTGCTGGGTTGTGCGACGCTGCCAGCTACTGCCGTAGATCCTGTGAAGCTCGTTCTAGTGCTGTTCCCCCACTGAGCGCCCCCAATGCACCGAAGCGGGGGCCGAAGTGTTCGAGCTTCGCAAGAGGCAAAAGTTCAAGAGACCAAGCCAGAGCAGCGTTGGAAGATATGCGTCGGGATCTCGGCGGACGCGGGAGCGGGTCGGGTCAAACGCGGCGCCGTCTCGGGCGGCGTCGGAAGCGTCGGAACGGCGTCGCGGCAAAATAGGGAGCGCAGACGGGCAGCGCCAGTGCCACGGGAGTGTAAAACATTGTTCTTTTGCGCCTGCGAAGGGCCTCTCGCCTCTCGTCCGCCCCTCTCTCTTGGAGGCAGTTTTGAAGCCTCTAGGGGGCCGTTTGGGAGCTCTATGGGAGCTCTTTTGGGCCTCTTGGGGGCTCCTCGGGGCCCTCTTGGGCCGTCTATGGCGCCTCTTGGGCCGTCTTGGGGCCGTCTTGGGCCACTTTGGGCGCCACTTGGGCCGTCTTGGGGCCATCTTGGGCTCTCTTGGGCTCCTTTTGGGCACCTGTTGGGGTCCTCTTGGGCCGTCTTGGGCGCCCCTTGGGCCGTCCTGGGGCCG